TGGACACGCGCGCCCCACACGCCCACTCCGCGCCGCCCGCGTCCAACCTCTGCGGCCGACCGGGCGGGGCCTCCCTGGGCGCGCCCACCTGGGGGCGTCTCCCCCACTCGCCCAGCTCGCCCACCTGGGGGCATCTTGCTTCTTGCTCGCCCTGCGCGTCCACCTAGGGGCATCTTCCTTCCCGCGCGCCCACCTGGGGGCGTGTCCACTGCTCGTTTCCCGCGTCCACCTGGGGTTGTCTCACCTCTGCTCGCCCGCGCCCGCTCGGAGACCTCGGCGCCTTGCGTTCCTTGCAGTTCGGGAGTCCGGACCTGTTCAACTGCTCGTGGTGGAGGAAAAGGAGGGCAGGCATCGGACCAGAGTGTCTTGGGTGTCTTTTGACTTTGAACCTTTCCTCGAGGTTTCCTCATCACGGTCAAAGCTTTATGAATGACCCAGTTGCAGGAGGTTTTTGCCCTGGGCTCACAGAAGAGAACTGTCTGTGCCCCCTAGCCGCTGGGAATTGAAAACATTTTGTCATTTATGAAATTGTACTCATCAGTGTTCCAACACCCCCTTCTCCTCCTAAAATACTTTCAGATGTGTTATGAGATGCTGTTGTGCAGTGGTTTCTTCGCTGAGTGAATAAAAGGGCACCACAAATTGAGTGCTCCCAAGTCGCGTCGATTCCGACAGGCGGGAACTGTGGGTGCGGAGGGCCTGGGTGTCACAGAGCTTTGGATCCTTGCGTGTGACGTGTTGACCACAAGGAGGAGAAATTGGCCTGGCTTTTCTCGTTGAGTGCGTGGTCTAACTGGCTGAAGAAGGAGACGGTCATGACCCTCAAATATCTCAGGTACCGCAGTGGGGCCAGGAAAGCAAAGGTAGGGAGGTAGATTGTGGCTCAGATTAAATATATATATATATAGAGAGAGAGAGACAGATACAGATTATATATATACATGTATATATATATTTTTTTCCTAGTTATTAAAGGTATCCAAGAATAGAACATGACTCTTTGGGAAAAAATGAGCTCAAAACCTAGAAGGAATGTCCTCCTTAGGGCTACTTCCATTTCTGAGAATCCATAGTTCAAACAAACATTAAGAATTTAAAAATCGATTTGCTACAGGATGAGAGGAGGCGGATTTTTCTTCCCCCTAAACACCCACAAAATGATCCTTGTGTGCTTCTCTACCAACAACTCTGAAAAGAAAGTACTGTGTATTCTCTGGGCTGGCACTTCTATGACTGTAAGTGGGCATCCCTTGGTCCATTGTTACAATGTCAGGGAAATACAAGTGCAAGCGGTCATGTAAAATGAATTTAATATTCTATGAATAAGTTAAATATTAATAAATGAAGAAACTATATTATACTTTAAAGATAAAAGAAAACTTGCTCATTTGTTCATTCTGCACATTAATACTTAATGCCTACTAGGTGGCAGGCTAACAAAAATGGTCGTTTTTAAGCAGTCAATACTTCAGAAATAAAAACAGGCTGAAAGGAAATTTCTGTTACCTGAAAGTGTAGGAAATAGATAATTATGGCACAGATACATGGAGTTGCCATGAGTTAAGTGGTTTTCAGGTTTAGTATCTGATTAAAATGAAAATAGCTGATTAGACTTCAGTTTTACTAGTTAGAAAAGAAGGAATTTTTATGCCTTGGCTATTCTGTAAGTGAAGCATTGAGGAATTTGTTTACTGCTAAAAATCCAGTCTCCAACTAAATCCAAAGTAAGATCTCCAATTTAAGCAAGGGAGAAATAGAAAACATAATATAGTAAAACCTGCGAAAGCTGCCACCTCCGTAAGGCTGAAATCTGTCAGAAAACGAAAATATTTTCCACTAATAGCAATAGAAAAGTGTTAAGACTGAACCCTGTCAAAGGCAGAAAACTTATGAGACCTGGAAAAACAAGGCAGTCGCATCAAGTCCCAGCTCCTCAAAGTTTCACTGTATTTATCTGTTAAAAACCAACACAAGAAGGTCAACCATGTTATTCACTGCACTGCCATACAGTGCAGCAGCCTGGTAGTCCTTCAAAGGTAACTACACAGAAGCAAAGACTAGAATAGTCAACTGAATGGTCATGGAAGGGTGAGTGGTCCACATGATTGACTGCAGGAAGAAAAGCCTTCAACAGTAAAAAGTGAATTTTATAGCTCTGGTGAGTAAACATTTATTCTGGGCTCATGACACACTCCCCCCACCCCCTGACTAGAAGGTAAATGGTTTATGTTCTTTGTTTCTTTCGCAGTCAAATGGGAATATAGGTATCAATGCTCAAATACTGCTTTGTTTTTGTTTTTAAATGTAGGAGTCCTTTGGGAGACAGAGTAGCTATAGTAGGTTTATAGTATAGAGTAGTATTATAGTAGTTTCTCAGGAATACTCACTATATCTCCTCACAGTGCCCTTTCATATTAAGGTGACTGTCTTAGGCTGAGTTCTTGAGAGAAGCAAAACCAGAGAGGGATTTTTCTCAAGGAAATGGCTCATGCAGTTGTAGAGGCTGGTAAGGTCCAAGTCCATGGGTCAAACATCAAGCTGGAGGCATCTCCTGACTCATTCAGCTGCAAGGGCTGAAGAACCCAAGAGTGGCAGGCAGTATAGCAGGCTGCTGGCTTCAGAGGCTAACTGCTGCGAACACAACAATCCCAATATCAGCAGGCAATACAGCAGACCATTGGCTCAAGTCCAGATGATGCAAGTCAGCTTAGGGTCTCCAGCAAAAAGCCCTTTCCCAGGGCTTTCCCGTATATACTGGAAGCAGGCCACACCCAGAAGGAAACTCCCTTCCAACTGATTGACTGCTCATAGCAGATCTCATCATGGGAGGTGATTACATCATATCAGATTTCATCCTGGACGATGACTGCATCATAACTGCTAAACCACTTAGAATCATGGCCCAACCAAGTGGACACACAACCTTAAATATCACAGGTGACAGAGTGCCAGACTGTAGAATTAACTGTATACCATGCAAAAAAAAAAAAAAAATGTCTTTCACTGTCTCACTGTCTGATAACATGACAATTCCTTTCTTCTCCCTTGATTACCTTGGATGTGGGGAAGAAAATATTTATTTTGTAACAGTTTTCATTTTGTGAAAGACCACAAACTGCTGAAAATTCTCACCTGTTTGATAGAACCTAAAGTTCGTATTTGTGAGAATAAAGATTGGGAAAATATTTTATAAACATCTTAAAAATACTTTTGTTCTCTAGTTTACAGTTAAAAAAAATAGAGAACTTTTTTCTTATAGTTTTTAATAAAGTTATTTATTTATTTTATAATAAAGGAGCTCTGGTAGCACAGTGCCTAAGGCATCTGACTGCTAACCAGAAGGTTGGCAGTTCAAACACACAAGCCATTCCATGAAAGCAAGATTCGGCAATCTATTCCGGTAAAGATTTACTGCCTTGGAAACCCAATGGGGGTCACTATGAGTTGGAATAGACTTGGATAAGGCATTTGGCTGTTAACCAGAAGGTCACCAGTTCAAACCCACCAGCTGCTCTGTGGAAGGAAGATGGGGCAATCTACTTCTGTAGAGATTTATAGCCCCAGAAACTAATGGAGGTCACCATGAGTTGGAATTGACTTGATGGCAGTGAGTTTAGTTTTTTGGTTTGTTTTAGTTTATAATAAGGTCTTCCTCAAATCTCCACATATTTATGGACATTTGAAATTAAATTTGGACTTAATTGTTCACAACAAAGAAAAATACTCAAAACCAAGCTCATCATATTTCCTCAGAGACTAATGCCTCTCCAGTGTTCCTCTACCATATTGCCCTTGTAGACAAGCATGCTTGATTGTTAGTCATCTTCCATTTCCTTCTCTCACCCTAGATTCATTCAACCATGCTAAGACTCCTTATGGGAAAGCCCCAGGCAGGAAGCAGAGGGAGCCAGGCTGACAGCTGGGACAGGTAAGGGGGAGAGTAGGGAGTTGGGGCTACCTGGCCAACTGACTGGAAGAGATCCATATTTGTACCCATTCCAAAGAAAGGTGATCCCACAGAATGTGAAAATTATCGAACAATATCAATATCGCACATAAGTAAGATCTTACTGAATATAATTCAAAAACAACACCTCAACAACAAAAAGATTAACAATCCAATTAAAAATGGGCAGAAGATGTGAATAGACACTTCACTAAAGAGGATATTAAGGTGGCCAGCAAATACACAAAGAAATGCTCATGATCATTGGCCATCACAGAGATGCAAATCAAAACAGCAATGAGATACCATCTCACCTGCAAACGAATGGCAAAGTTCGACGAGACAGAAAATAACAAGTGCTGGCAAGGATGTGGAGAAATTGGGACTCTCATACACTGCTATTGGGACTGTAAAATGATACAACCACTGTGGAAAGCAGTATGGTAATTCCTTAAAAAGCTGGAATTAGAAATAATATTTGGAGGAGACCAGCAAGATGGCAGACTAGGCAGAAAGACTGCACAGACCCTCTTCAACAAAGAAAAGGGAAACCAATTAACACAGACACAGAAGATAATCCTGGACCCCTGAGCCTT